TCCATTATTCACAAAGCTTGCAGCCTCAGTTCAGTTCTGGAAAACATTGCCCATTTCTCTCCTCGGCAGAATAAATGCAATAAAAATGATCTTTCTCCCGCAGCTCCTATATTTATTTCAAATCATCCCAGTCTACCCTCCGAAATTATTTTTTAAGAAACTTGACTCTATTGTTACTAATTTTGTTTGGGACTATAAGACCCATAGAATACACAAACAACATTTATGCAAATCTAAAATAAGTGGAGGACTATCTTTACCCAATTTTCTCTCCTACTACTGGGCAACAAATATTAAAAACATTACTTTTTGGCTGGATGAAACATCTCAACAAGACAATTGGTTAAAAATGGAGAAGGAAGACTGTTTTCCTTTTGCTATAGGAGCAGTCATCCAGTCCCCCAAACCATTAACTAAGTCAACTTACAACCATAATCCCATCATACATGATGCCATTCGTTTCTGGAAGCAGTTGAAGCTCAGTCTCAAATTAAGGAATATGTCCCTTCTCCTCCCAATTGCAAATAATCCCTTCTTCAAAGCTTCTACTTTAGATGGTGCTTTTACGCAATGGAAAACCCAAGGAATTAAATCAGTGGGTGATCTGTATGTAAGGGGGACTTTCGCCTCCTTTCAGGAGCTGCGGGAGAAATATAACTTGAATACGAATAATTTTTTTAGATTTCTTCAGGTTAGAGACTATGTGAAATCATTTACGCAGGATTATAGAATAGCAACTCCAGACAAACTTGATGACTGTTTAAAAAGACAAGCTGATTCAGAGAAGCTGATATCATACATTTATAATGTTTTACAAAATGTTATCAATCCCTCTTTGGATGTTTATAGACGGGCCTGGGAAGAGGACCTGGGAAAACAAATTTCTCAAGATAAATGGGATACAAGTCTGCAGAGTGTGCACACCAGTTCATTAAATGCTAGACATCACTTGATACAGTTTAAGGTACTACACAGGTTATATTGTTCAAAAACTTAACTCAACAAAATGTTTCCCAACATCTCCCCTGCGTGTGATAAATGCCAATCCCAAGAAGCCACTTTAACCCATAGTTTCATACTCTGTCCCAAGATAGAAAGTCTATGGATCGAAAGTTTTAGTATCTTCTCATTTATATTGAAGACCCCCCTGAAACCAGAACCTGAAATGATAATATAAGGGACGTTGGAGACTTTCAGGAAGCTAACTACCCCTCAACAACACTTTTTCTCCTACGGGCTCATAATTGCAAAAAAAACTTATTCTTAAATTTTGAAAAAAAGCAGAGGCCCCCCTCAGCAAAATTGTGGCTCACAGACCTAACTGATACTCTCCACCTAGAAAGAATTAGGTTTGTTTTAAATGATAAACTAAAACAATTTCTAAAGATTTGGTTGCCATTTATACTCTTTCCCGAACAGCATATATAGTGTTTACCAACTTAAGAATTACAGGTAAAACTAGATAAGCGATTGGTTGGTCTCCCTGATGGGTTTTTTTCCTCCTTTTTTTTTTTTTTTTTATTATTATTTGAATTTATTTTTCTTATAATATAATTCGTGTTTTACACACATATTCAAATTGAATTTTTTTTCTCCTTCTTTGTAATTTTTGATTTAATTAATCAACTTTTTTATTTTTCCTATGTTGACTCACATGTATATAAAATACTGCTAAATATGAAGCAAGATATTAATTCTTATGAATGCCTTAACTCTCGTACAAATGCTTCTAATAAAAATACTTGAATCAGAATATCAGCTCTTGCCGTAAGGCAGTCAGCACCCAGCCATTCTACTTCCCAAAGCTGGTTGCTTCCTTATGACGCCCACAGTGATGCGCCTGTGAATGTACGGGTACGCCCAGCTACCACAATACTAGTGCCCCTAAAGCGCAACCACATTTGCCGCTGCCCCGCCTTACACATAATTGTGCCTTAGTAATGCTCTTCCAAAATCTGGAGGCTTGTTTGAAGCCAATTAGTCGCGTTGCTTTGGATGAGTATCGTGGTGTTGTTGGTTGTGAACGCCGGTTTGGTAGTGGTGGAAAGCCATGCTTGAATCTTGCTGAGATGTTGATGTTCCTCATCTAGATGTTCCTATAGAGAGGAGAGAAGAGAAGATGAGACAAGGTCCATGGTTAGATTCTCTGGGGATAAGTCTTAACTTTTGTGTCGAGTTGGGGTAAAGATAGAAAGGGGGGAAGGTTTGGAGAAAAAAAGTAGTGAAGGACCATTTGGACCAGTTGGATATGATGGTAGATAGGTTTGTCCGATGGCACTGGCTGGTTAGGTTGAAGAAATCTACTCATGGCTCTCCCCGCTAGGTCCAACGACTTTCACAGTTGACTCGAGAACCACGGAATGCACGGACCCACGCAAGCTACTGCTCATCTACCCATCCGTGTCCGGTCAGAGAGGGGGGAGAAGAGAGAGCAGAGATTAACAATGGGTGTCGGATAAGTCGATCAGCACCTTCGTCCGCCTTATAGTGTCGTTCTCTGGCCCTTGGCTCCTTAGTAGGAGTAATGGTGGTAAAAATGGGATATGTGTTTTGGGGTATTTTAATCAACTTTTTTCATTTCTAAAGGATTAATAGGGTTTTTGTTATTTTATTTTATTTTATTTTAAAGCTTAATTAAATAAAGAATTTCAGGACACATCCTCAGTAGTGTACCTTGAGATCATTGGGTGTTTCGGCCATTACCACTATACACCCTCACCCAAGGCCGGCCCCACCGAGGTTGATCAAGTCTCGGGGTGTGTCCCGTAGCCAATTGGGGTTTTTAAATTTTAATTTGCTAAATGCTAACTTCTAATTTGTTTTTTTAATTTTTTTACAGGCGTACGGAGATGTTTTGAAGGAGTTTTCGGAGTTTGCTGCGTAAGGGAAGTATTTAATGGGTAAGTATTTGTTTTAGCGGTTATTCATTTTCAACGGGTTTTTAAATTAGCGGGTTTACCTGAATAATGGTTTTTGAATTAGCAGAAAATCTTGATGGGTGGTTTTTTAAGGTAGGGAGTTGGTTTAGAGTTCTTAATTTTATTTTAAAGTAGGTTGGTTCCGAATTAGCGGGAATGACTGGTTTTTGGTGAATTCAATTAGCGGTAAATCTTTAATACACGTTTTTTGGACAGAGGGAGTTGGTTAAGATCAACTGGGAAGTCTTTGTTAGGTTTTGTTTTGATAAATTTTGGTGGTCTTTGAATTAGCGGGGTTTTGGTCATTAAATTAATTAACGAAAAGTACTTTCCAGGTTGTTTTTAAGTGAGGGCAATTGAATTGGGTCAGATTGGGGATTTGGTGTTATGTTTTGGTACGACAATTTTGGTGGTATTTGAATTAGCGGCAATTTCCAATTGAATTAGCAGAAGGTTCTTTAAAAGGTCTTTTTCGGGATGAAGGTAATTTTAGTTAAGTCAGATTCGATTTTGGTGCAGAGATTTTTAATTGTAGGTTATTCCAATTAGTAAGTGATTTTCTGGAAGAGGTCAAAAAGAGATTGGTTGGAGGTTTTCCAATTGTCGGTAATTTGGAGTAGAGAGTATTGGATAAGTCCAACTCGGAAGAAATACAAATAAAAAAATAATGAGCAGGTCTGATTATGAAGTGAGTTTGGACCTCTAAGAGGTAAAGTAAATTAAAATGCGTGTGGTGCAAGATTTGCCGTTACGTCAGCTGAGCTAGTCTCAGTAGAAAACTGAGCCACGTTTAAGGTCCTGACGCTCTGGACCACCGCCCCTGCATGCTGTTCCTATAGGCGGAACCCAGGCGCAGCCGCATACCTACCCCCTGACCTACACCAACTGCTTGTTAACACTGAAAGGTTACAACGGTTAGGTCGATCTGGACTGAAGAAGGAGTCAGCCAGCATCTCCCGCCCCAGATTGGCCCAACATTGCCAAGCACAGGATCTGAAGCAGTTCTTCCCCTCCCACCCATGACAGTCCTCATACCCATACGCCCTGCACGTGTGCCATAAATCAGCAAACCACCCTCAAAACGGAAGTACGTGAAAACTGCTACAGCTGGGATGTGTCCCAAATGTGGAGAGGAGAGGACTATGCCAACACACCAGCAGTACATGGGCCACAGATACTGTGGCAAGACAGAAACTGTCCCATTTGCTAAGTGGAGGGCAGCGCCTAAAAAAATAAGTCAAAGATCGGACTGCAAACCTGGACGGAAAATCAACAATGGCCTAAAAAAAAATTGGCTAAAACTTTTTTACTGCTGCCTTTTGTACTGAATGGTGATTTATGCTTTGCAAATTTCACTTTATGTAATTTAAAATTTTGTCTCTATAAAAAGTAGTTGTATCCCTTTCACATTTGTTTTTTTATAGATGTAAACAATGTTGAAAAATAAATGTTATTGATTTTTCAATATATACTTTAATATTCTTTGTTCAAATTTCAGGAATGAAAGAATGAAAGAAAATCTAGTGTAGGTGCATGAGTTTTTTCCCAGGTATATTCCCAGGTATATATTCATTTGTTAAAATGCACCTTGATAAGTAGTTGAAAATAATCTCCCTTTCCTTTCAAAACTACTTTTCATTAAAAATATTTGATAGAGACAACTTTCACATTAAAAGTTTATGAGCGTTTACTCCCATATTGTAATCTTTTTGCCCCGGTACAGTGCAGCTTCCCTCGTGTTTGAATTAATTGTGATTTCCTGGATGCACCCCAGTGGTTTTTGTGCAGTCTCCTTAGTGCAGTCATTTAAACATCAGACTTTTTATCTGAGGGTCCAGGGTTCAAGTCCTAGTTTGGGCGATTCTCCTCATGTTATTATCTCAAATAAGAAGAAGGCGAATCTTGTCGGACTCAATAATCCCATTCCCATTGCAATAACTTCCTGAAAACACCTCATTCATTGACAAGAACAGTTTCTTAAAGGGACTTGATTCTCATTGCTTGGTATGTCATGCTTAGAAAGAAACACGTGATGTACAAGCTTGCTGGTGTAACAGCCTCTGCTCAAAATCAGCATTCTACTGACACTGACATGATTTGAACACGCAACCTTCTAAGCTGCAGTCAGACGCGCTACCGTTGCGCAAAGACATCCTTCATACCCATTTAGCTGTGGCTGCCTGTAGCATTTCACAGCATTTCTATGATTGACATGAAATTTAATGGCAGATATCACAGATTAGAACAATTAAAAAATCTTCTGTTTTGGCTGTTTAACCAAAATTCCAATCACGCAAGTTGCAGGAGCTTTCAAAGCCTGGATAGCTCAGTCGGTGGGGAATCTGACTTTTAATCTGAGGGTCCAGGGTTCAAGTCCCTGTTCGGGCGAGTGTGATTTTCACGGATGTTCGCGCGCATAGTGAAACAAATTGAGCGCCGGGAGTAGGCTTAGCTTCTCAATTCTACAGTCAAATCATATCCAAGTGCCTGTACTTCTGAGCGGGGGAAATTGAGTACTCAGCTTGAAAAACATTGCTCTCCCATTTCATGCACAAAATAAATGCGGGGGTAAAGTGAGTTCCACAAGACAAATCAAAAGTCACTCCATGTGGATGTGCTCATACTTCTGAGTGGGTGAAATAGAGTACTGTACTTGAGAAAGATTGCTCTCTCATTTCATAAAAAAGCTTTCTGAGTACATTATTTTGCAATTCTAATGGATTATCTAAGCCAGTTTGCGTAGTTTGCAGACACACAACCATTGCGTACCAAAGTCCATCAGAAGGAAAGAATTTATGCCTTGTGCGATTTCAGCATTTTTATGAATGAACCAAAGTTTAATGAAAAACATCACAGATGAAAAAAGCACTATTCCACTTTGGCTGATAGACCAGAATCCATATCTCAAACCTTTGGCCAACATTGAACACCTTTCAAACCTAACCTTCTTCACCCTAACTCTAGCCCAGGGGTACGCAAACTTATCCAGAATGAGTGACTGCGGGTGCAGTCTTTCATTCAGATCATGCAGTTACAGATTTTCTTCCTCTAATCATCTCCTGGAGTATTTGCTAAAGACGCGGATTAGTCAAGTCAGGCGTGTAACTGCATGATTGGGATAAAATCCGGCACCCACCAAAGTCCATCAGAAGGCAAGAATTTATGCCTTGTGCGATTTCAGCATTTTCATGAATGAACCAAAGTTTAATGAAAAACATCACAGATGAAAAAAGCACTATTCCACTTTGGCTGATAGACCAGAATCCGTATCTCAAACCTTTGGCCAACATTGAACACCTTTCAAACCTAACCTCCTTCACCCTAACTCTAGCCCAGGGGTACGCAAACTTATCCAGAATGAGTGACTGTGGGTGCAGTCTTTTATTCAGATCATGCAGTTACAGATTTTCTTCCTCTAATCATCTCCTGGAGTATTTGCTAAAGACGCGGATTAGTCAAGTCAGGCGTGTAACTGCATGATTGGGATGAAATCCGGCACCCACAGCAGCTCATTCTGGATAGAGCGAGTAACCCTGCTTGACAGAGCGAGTACACGTGCCATAAGCGTAACCCTCCTGAACCTGACCCTACCAAAACCCTAAACGTAACTCCAAACTTTAGTTGCAATTCCATCAACTCCTTACTGGAACCCGATTACCCGTAACCCTAACGTTCCATAACCCTGGCCCAAAGCATAATGTTGTTGGTTCACAAAATATTCTCCTCTTGTTATTATCTCAAAATAAAATGAGTAGAAGGCAATCTTGTAGGCCTCAATAATCCCACTCCCTTTGCAATAACTTTGTCGCAAAGACAGCTCATTCACTGACAAGGACGGTTTCTTAAAGGGGCTTGATTCTCATTGCTTGGTATGTCATGCTTAGAAAGAGGCACATGATGTACAAACTTGCTGGTGTGACAGCCTCTGCTCAAAATCAGCATTCTACTGACCCCGACGTGATTTGAACACGCAACCTTCTGATCTGGAGTAAGACGCCCTACCGTTGCACCACAAGGTCTCACCTGCCCATTTAGCTGTGGCTGCCTGTAGCATTTCACAGCATTTTTATGATTGACACGAAATTTAATGGCAAATTTCACAGATTAGAAGAATTAAAAAATCTTCTGTTTTGGCTGTTTAACCAAAATGCCAATCATACGAGTCACATCAACTTTCGAGGCCCGGATAGCTCAGTCGGTAGAGCATCAGACTTTCAATCTGAGGGTCCAGGGTTCAAGTCCCTGTTCGTGCGTGTGTGATTTTCACGGATGTTCGCGCATGTAGTGAAGCAAATTGAGCGCCAGGAGTAGGTTTAGCTTCTCAATTCTCCAGTCAAATCATATCTATGTGCCTGTACTTCTGAGCGGGAGAAATTGAGTACTCAGCTTGAAAAACATTGCTCTCCCATTTCATGCAAAAAATAAATGCGTGGGAAAGGTGAGTTCCACAAGACAAATCAAAAGTCACTCCATGTGGATGTGCTCAAACTTCTGAGTGGGTGAAATAGAGTACTGTACTTGACAAAGATTGCTCTCTCATTTCATAAAAAAGCTTTCTGAGTACATTATTTTGCAATTCTAATGGATTATCTAAGCCAGTTTGCGTAGTTTGCAGCCACACAACCATTGCGCACCAAAGTCCATCAGAAGGCAAGAATTTATGCCTTGTGCGATTTCAGCATTTTTATGAATGAACCAAAGTTTAATGAAAAACATCACAGATGAAAAAAGCACTATTCCACTTTGGCTGATAGACCAGAATCCGTATCTCAAACCTTTGGCCAACATTGAACACCTTTCAAACCTAACCTCCTTCACCCTAACTCTAGCCCAGGGGTACGCAAACTTATCCAGAATGAGTGACTGCGGGTGCAGTCTTTCATTCAGATCATGCAGTTACAGATTTTCTTCCTCTAATCATCTCCTGGAGTATTTGGTAAAGACGCGGATTAGTCAAGTCGGGTGTGTAACTGCATGATTGGGATGAAATCCTGCACCCACAGCAGCTCATTCTGGATAGAGCGAGTACCCCAGGGGCCTATTGCACAAAAGTCGGATCCTGAGATCCCGGATCAACGCCAAAGCGAGGATTGCCATAACCCAAACAGCGCGTCGCTGGATTAATTGATTGCACAAAGCCAACAGCGGGTGAAGGAGGATAGGTTAAGTGAAGCCCGGTGCCGCTGATCCTGCTGAGTGCGCGCACTCGGCTACCTCAAATAGACCCCAAGATCGATCACAGAATCGCTGATCATCACCATGGACACTAAGTAGCTGCAGCAAACGCATGCGCCAGCAACATTCAAAGACTACGTTCAGATAAACGGACGATGGGATCGCTGAAATGCCTCTATTTGTTAATCCTTTAGTTTCTGTCTGAACGGTGCGAGGCGTTTGGGGAGAGTATTAAAGTGAGTTAAACTCAAGTGAAAGTAAACTCTGGAGGTGTTTCAGAGTCGTCAAAAAGGAGTAGCTGATGCACTTCGGCGTTACCGTGAACGAGATAAGCCGTCGCCATCAGACAGATATAAGATCGAGCGAGACGAATTTATTAACCTGCCATGTGAGATGTAAACGATAGTTAAGGATTTATGCTTGAATTAATTCCGAGTTTTCAGAGTATATTTATGTACCATAAACGCGTCACAATTTTGCTACAAGTCCTTTTTTGTCCTAAACAAACTGAATTGATTGTCCGATCTAGAAGACGTTTTCAGATTACTTGAGTTCATTTCTGCTTTTAATCATCTTTGATGGAGGCATACTCAAATTAAAAAGTAAAATGTTAACGTCAGAAAATTACGTCGAGAAGCCTCCTGAAAATGTTTGATTCCAGTAGCCTATCGCGAAGCGACTGACATTGCACTCGCGTCCAGCACTAAGGCAAGAACTCTATCTTACCCGTCGCAGTTTGAATGAAGACGGAGAAAAGTAGCAGCAGTGCTGTAGGTAGGGGGTTACCGCAGCGATTTAAGACCGCGCTGAAACACGGTAACCTACTTCATACAGCACGGCTCATTTTCTACTCTGGTGGAAGTCTCAGCTTGGGGAATAAGGACAAATCTGATAATGACGGATTCTAAATATGGTTAAAATGTGACATGGAAGGGGGACTGATTGAACTGTGATGGTCACTGTCACATGGATACTTGAATATAATGATCGAATATTGGCTAGTTTACTGACATCAATGGTCACAAGTTAATAAGATAATTACTCTGGGTCTACTATAATTGAGATAGCAATGCGTGGTGGACAATGCAGAACGACTGTTAAGGACATTGATTTTCAGTTTGGGTGACTGCTGAATGAGGTGAGGTGAAATTGGCTGGAGGCAGCAGCTTAGCTAGTTCGTAATCTTGCTCCGGAGCTGGCTAGCTCCACAGACTTTGTTTCCATAGTAACTAGTGCCATGGCTTAGCTCACACGCTCTGTGCAACCGACATGGGGCTTGAGATCAGGCTAATCCCGTGCCGATCCTGGGCTAATCCCTTATCCCGCCTTCGTGCAATAGGCCCCTGCTTGATAGAGCGAGTACACGTGCCATAAGCGTAACCCTCCTGAACCTGACCCTACCAAAACCCTAAACGTAACTCCAAACTTTAGTTGCAATCCCATCAACTCCTTACTGGAACCCGATTACCCGTAACCCTAACATTCCATAACCCTGGCCCAAAGCATAATGTTTCTGGTTCACAAAATATTCTCCTCTTGTTATTATCTCAAAATAAAAGGAGTAGAAGGCAATCTTGTAGGCCTCAATAATCCCACTCCCTTTGCAATAACTTTGTTGCGAAGAAAACTCATTCACTGACAAGGACGGTTTCTTAAAGGGGCTTGATTCTCATTGCTTGGTATGTCATGCTTAGAAAGAGGCACATGATGTACAAGCTTGCTGGTGTGACAGCCTCTGCTCAAAATCAGCATTCTACTGACCCCGATGTGATTTGAACACACAACCTTCTGACCTGGAGTTAGACGCGCTACCGTTGCACCACGAGGTCCCACCTGCCCATTTAACCGTGGCTGCCTGTAGCATTTCACAGCATTTTTATGATTGATACAAAATTTAATGGCAAATATCACAGATTAGAAGAATTAAAAAATCTTCTGTTTTGGCTGTTTAACCAAAATGCCAATCATACGAGTCACAG